CCCCCCCCACCCCCCCGGCTAAAAAAGAACACATTTGTGCTTTAAAACCTGGTTACTTGAAAATTATAAGCCAACAACACAACTGATGCAAAGATCTATCACTGTACACGGTCAATAAGTCAGAAAACCCACCACAAGTTACACTGATTATGATGAGCACATTTGGGGGGCCATCAGACACATCCCTTATATGAAAACTACTGACAATAATTTATAATTTAGCTGAAAGAATGCCAATCAAAAACCAAAACCAACCCAAGATGGTCCTAGTAATTTATCAGTAACAGCATTCTTCCTGGAAGCAATGCAAATTTCACATTTCCAATAGAATACTGAGAGTCTTCAGGAAACTTTAGTAATATATTAACTTTAGTTTAAAAAATTCAGGGTCTTGTAAATAACTCACTTAATAGAATATTAGAAAGTAAACCACCATAAAAACTTCAGGTAGACCCTGGTCCTCTACTGTGAGCTGAGAACTGTTCTTGGGGGATCATGAATGGAACCAGCGATGAGCAAATATTCTGGTCGCAGGATTTCTTTTTTCGTTTCTTTTAATTGAGGCGAATGAAATTCACATAATCATAAAAAGTGTACCCTTCAGTGGTACTTAGCATATTCACAGATTGTTGAGTAAAACATTAGATAATCACTCTCCCCAGCCACAGTTAACTACTAACTTACTTTTTGTCTCCCTGGATCTGCCTACTTGGTCTGGATATATTATATAAAAGGAATCATACAACATGTGACCTTTTGTATCAGGCTTCTTTCACTTAACATAATGTTTCTTTTTTTGTTGTTAAAGTTTATTTTATTTATTTTGAGAGACAAAGAGACAGCGTGAGCGAGGGAGGGGCCGAGAGAGAGGGAGGGAGAGAGAGAATCGCAAGTAGGCTCCACACTGTCAGAGCAAAGCCCAATGCAGGACTTGATCCCACGAACCATGAGATCATGACCTGAGCCGAAATCAAGAGTCAGACGCTCAGCTGACTCAGCCACCTAGGCGCCCCTTATCATAATGTTTCTGAAGTTCACCCACACTGTACCATGTATCAATACTTTATTCTTTTTTATGGCTGAGTAACATTGCAGTGTATGGATAGACCACGGTTTGCTTATCCATTTATTATTCATGGGCACTTGGATTGTTTCCACCTCTTGGCTATTTGGTTATCATGCTGTTATAAATAGTCATGTACAAATTTCTGTGTGGACATAGGTTTTCATCTCTTGTGGGTATCCGCCCAGGAGTGGAATTGCCGGGTCATGTGGTAGCCGTATGTTAAAAGTTTTGAACTACCTAACTAATTTGGAAGTAAATTTTAAAAAATAAAAAATAAAATAAAATAAAAAGTTTTGAGGAACTACCAATCTGCTTTCCACAGTGGCTGCACCATTTTACATTTCTGCCAGCCAAGTATGAGGATTCCTATTTCTCCACATCCTTGTCGACATTTGTTATTCTTTTTGCTTAAAGTCATCTTAGTGGGCATGACGTGGTATCTCAGTGTGATTTTGATTTGCATTAATGGAATGACCAATGATGATGCACTTACTATTTGTCAGGACCTTTGTACGTTATTAAAAAACTTTGAGGCCCAAAGAGCTTTAATCCATGTCATTATAGCTAGTGATACCATATTTAGACACTAAAACAATTAAATTTAAAAAATATTATTTATTAGTTCTCTTACAAACAGTAGTAATAAGTTCATTATATGTCAACATCAGAGCAACGACATCATCACGTATCATGTAGTTTCTGGAAAACTCCACCATACACTTATAAGAGAATGAGCATGAAAAAGGTAAATCACATGTTAATTATTATAAAAAAAAAATTGATCTCCTAGATCTCCCTCCCCAAAATGAGTAATGATAATTCAATTTTACTCAAGATAAATAACACTAAAAAAAGTTTTGTTTTTTTCTGGCCTGGGATTTCTCTCAACTCAGAAAACATGTACTTTGGGGAAGGGAGGATGTGGACACTGAAATCGGGATCGTTTTTGTTAGTCATAGAAAGGGCAGAAAATGGTTCTGTAATCTGGCTATGGATTTGCTGATGCCTGCCCACATTTTGAAATAACACTTTTTTGGCCTTTCGGAAATAAAACTGGATGCTTTTTTAACCTTTCATTAATCTCCTTGATCATGTGATTTTTGAGAGTGGGTGGGCATGGAGATTTATAACCCGGTGGTTCTCAAAGTGAGGTCCCCAGACCAGCAGCAGCACCTGGAACTTGTCAGAAGAGGACATCTTCGGGCCCCACCCCAGACCTGCTCCTCAGAAACCCGAGATGGGCCTTCTGTGGTCCAACAGGGCCTCCAGGTGGTTCTGATTTGCTAACCAATTTGCTAACAGTTTGAGGACAACTGGGGTGACCTTTCCCACATTACACTCTGTCAGCATGATCTCCCTCCCTGCTTTGCACTTCCTTCTTCTTTCCTTCCGCCCATAAACATTGGATGTTTTAATCCCTTGTCAGTGTTTTTATTGACACTGATTTGGAAATGTAGACATTCACACATTATGCATCTGTCTCTAAACATCACATTCATGCAGACCAAATTCAGAGAATCATTTATAACAATCCCACAGAAACTAAATCTTAAAGGGGCGTGTTAGTAATATTCAGGTAGAGCTTTGTCATGGATACAGTTCATCACCTGGGACTTAGATTACCCTTCTTTTCCAGCACACCTCCAGTAAAATCCTTTTAAATACAGAAGCTCCGTGATCCCAAGGGTTCGGTTGCCCTCTGTTGGTGTTACCCAAAGATTACTATGCCATGGCTTCTGTTTAGAAATTCACAATTGAAGAAGGTCCAGTGGAAGGAGGCTAGCTTAGAGAACAGAGCTAAGGACAAAAAGATTCAGAGTTACCGGTTCAGAGTTCTTGGAAGGTGTTCATTATGGAATGTTGACCAGGAGAATGCGCTAATCACCCAGAAGCTGGGACAGGGATCTGCATCAATCAATGGAGAGTCCAATTACATGGGGTAAGGAGTGTGTGTGTGTGTGTGTGTGTGTGTGTGTGTGTGTGCGCGCGCGCGTGTGTGTGTGTGTGTGTGTGTCTATTTATATTCTATGCTACGGTTTTCCTTGGGATTTCTAAACTGGGAAGTATGGATGAAATGAACATGAAGCTACTTTTCTTTAACCTGTATATGGTATGGAGAGAGTCCCCTGGTGCTCAAGCTTCAATGAACATGTAGACATGAAAATAAGACCTAGAGTTCTGGTTGTCCCTCCCTGTTCCTCCAATGACCTTAGAATTGCTGCCCAGAAGCAGGTCGAGTTCACTCATTGGCACTAGAGAGCTGGCTTTGTAATGAGGTTGCAGGCGCCTGGGGCTCTGGCATGTGGCTTCCGAGTTTTCCAAAGCCCAGGAGATCTCACAGGAGATGCGTCTTGGGTGAGTGTTCAACTTCTTTGATTTTGCTTGTGCTCCGCGATTTCTGTGAGGTGTTCTTGGCTTCTTAGCACTCCTGGTTTTCTAGATTGTTCTTCTACTCTTCCTCCTGTGGCAATATAGCTATGTCACAGTCATAGGTGTAATACTGCACCAAGAAAAATGTGATCCCCACCCTAAGCCGACATGGATAAGCCCCCGTTGACCTGCTAACTTAAAGTTCCACCCCCAGATCCTGTTACCTTCCCACATTTCAGATCCTGAAATCCGACCTCAAGGCCTCTCCATGCCTCTGGAAGCCCAGACCGGCTGCCCCATGGTCCTTACAGCATGGTAGTTCCATCATTGTTCGGTGAGCAGATCTGAGAAACAGCCCAGGGGAACCCTTCCATTCCCTTGTCAGCCAGAGCTGGGCAGTTACAGGTGCTGAGGCTGAGTGGGTCTCAGGGAATGGACTCCAGGATGGGGTCTGCTTTGCTGCTGACCCCCAAGGGGTGTCCTGCTCTTTGTATTTCGTCCTGGTGTATAGTGGCTAAGGGTCCCATTGTCACACTCAAAAACCTGGGGTCATCCCTGGGCCATCTGGCTTCCTTAACCCTCATTTCCAGCCACCTGAAAAATCCTGATAATTTGACCCCCTTATATATTTCTTGATTCTTTTCCTCCTTTTTAACAGGTGCCCACTGACCTAGCTCATGTTCACATTGTCTCTCGTGTGGATTTATCCCATCATAACATAATCAAGCTGCCACCATGATTACTTGGTCCCTTAAATCTAGCCTGTAGACAGACTGTGTGGCGATATAGCTATGTCACAGTCATAGGTGTTGTAGACAGACTGTTCAAAGGGCCAGTGCTACCATTTGCCCCATAGGTAAAGCTGCTGTGGCTCTCTGTTGGCCCCAGGATAGGGTCCGAGCCCCTCAGTCTGACCTGATCTTCCACGACGTGGTCACTGTCCATCTGTAACAGCACCACGCGCCTCGCATCCTGGTGTTCAGAACTGCTCGACTTCTCCTGGACGTCGTCATGCCCTTTCACCTCGCCTTACCTGTCCCCACGCTCCCTCTGCCTGGTATCCATCTCCTGCCTTTCTTCATCTGGCCATAAGCACCATCAACTCTAAAAACCTTGCTGGCACCCCCATGTAGGGTTAAGTGTCCTTTCTCTTTGTTCCTATAACATCCACTCTTGGGCTTTAAGAAAATGTATTTGAGGGGCGCCTGGGTGGCTCAGTCTGTTGAGCATCTGACTTCGGCTCAGTTCATGATCTCACAGTCCGTGAGTTCGAAGCCCCGAGTCAGGCTCTGTGCTGACAACTCAGAGCCTGGAGCATGCTTCAGATTCTGTGTTTCCCTCTCTCTCTCTGCCCCTACCGCACTCACACTCTCTCTCTCTCTCTCTCTCTGTCAAAAATAAATAAACATTAAAAAATTTAAAAAAAAAAGAAATTGTATTTGAAATCTGTATTTTCCCCCCTCTTCTCCTCTACTAGTCTGTAAGCTCCTTAGAGTGGGGGCCATTTGTATTCACCTTTGGGCCCCGAGGAAGTGCTTGGCACAGAGCGGATATTCTTGTAATAGTTGTTTGTTTTTGTTTTTTTTTCTAATTGAGATAGGATTGACATGTAACATTGTGTAAGTTTAGAGTGTACAACATGTTTGTATATTTTAATATGTCGTATTTATATATTGCAACATGATTACCACCATAGTTAGCAGATGCCTCCATCATGGCACATAATTATCATTCCTTTTCTGCAGTGAGAACATCTAAGATCTAGTCTCTTATCAGCTTTGAAGTCTATAACACAGTATTGTTGACTGTAATCTCTATGCTGTGCGCTTGATCCCCAGAACTTACTCATCTTCTAATTGCAAGTTTATGCCCTTTCACCAACATCTATATACAAGATATTCTATAATTATTTTTTGAACTATATGGAGGACAGTAGGTGCAGAAAAGGGATAATAATAGTAACTAACTGTGCTAAGTGAGCCTCATGAATTGAAAACTCCTAGTTTCTATGTTTTGCATCTGTGTTATCCAATAGAATAGCCACAGTAAGCACTATTAAACACTTGCCATGTGGCTAGTGTAACTGATGAACTGAATTTTAATTATATTTAATCTATTTGAGTCTAAACTTAAATATCCACATATGGCTGGTGGCTACTGTATAGGACGGTACAGTCCTAGACTTTCACCAGCCCTTACTTAGTCCACAGGAACATCTGACTAGTTCCTACCTCGCTCACAGCTCCCATGGAGCAAGGATGTGGGCATGGGGTGCTGGTGAATGATTAACAGCCAGCTCTCTGGAAAAGTTGGCCTATTTCCATGGTGTAAATAGTCCCACCACGCCCTGTTTCGAGCTACCAACGCGACATAACTGAATACGGGGTTGGGAAGAGAGGTGCGGTAACACACCATCTTGTTGCATAATTCCTCGATACAGACACGATAGGTGTAAATAACTCTGAGAACAAACCAACTCGTAGAATAATTAGAAAGTGGTTAATTTAGAGTACTGATTAACTTCGTTTTTAATATAACTTATTCAGTTATGTCTATGTACTTACTTTTTTATAATGGCTCTGTTTAAAGACAGTTCACAGAATTCCTGAAAATGTAGCTTCTGGCTGTCAGGAGCCAGTGTAAGCCAGATCTTATCACTGGCTCCTAGTAATTAATCCAAAAAAGTAAAAATAGTCAAATGTAGGATTTCTTGTGGCCACAAGAGGGCACCATCAGATGAAATTGGAGTCTAGGAGGGATTTTTTTTTTTTTTTTTTTTTTTTTTTTTTTTTTTTTTTTTTTTTTGCACTAGCTCTCTGGCAGAAGGCTCAGTTTGAGGAATGAGTTTGAGTCTCCTGGAAGACTAATTCTGGGAGAGCTTGTGGAAATTCATATGGATTCAGGCTGTTCGTTATTTTACAACGTAAATTCCAAACCTTTACCATTCCCAAAAAGCGTCATCACTTTGTGTCTGAAGGCTTTTAATACCTAAGCTCCTAAATGAAAAGTTCCTTGCTGGGTTTTAAGTCTTGTCAGCAAGGGGAGGCAAGGATCTACCACGTGTCGAGTTCCTACAGTGTACTGGGTACTTGACATGCTTCATGCCACACAATCCTAAAAGAACGCCTTAGGAATCAGCTAACACCATAGAGAAGCTGGTTGACAGCCAGGTATATGAGCAACTCCCAATATAATAACCCGAGGGGGCTTGCCCTCTGCATCCCAGTAATTTGCACTTTTTTAATTCACACGAGGACAATCGGGAGTATATTGTGGGCCTGATGACCAATATGACAGCAAACGAAATCTGCTGGCCTTTCTCTGCCTGGGCCTCTATGGGATCTAAGAGCTCTGGGTTTTGGGGGGGTGAATCTGTGTCTTCTCAGGGTCTTGCTGGGGAATTTATATCAAGGTTGGTTAGAGTGCACCCTTGGGGGGTGGTGCTTTAGGGATGCCCTAAATAGTCAGGAGAGTAACATAGTAGGTCTAACACTCCACTGTCGAAAGCGAGGGAGACACGAGCCTTTTTGTTTGTGTGTGGAATGAATTCACTCTCTTGATGCTTGGTAGTGTCTGTCTATGCAGTGGTTCTCCAAGTTTGGTGCCTGGAAGAGAAGCGTCAATCTTGCCTGGGAATATTTTTAGAAATGTCAGTTTTCAGGCCCCACTTCAGACCTGCTGAATCAGAAACTCTGGGGGGCGGGGCCTGCTAGCCCATGTTTTAATAAGCCCTCCGGGAGATTCTTGTTTTTTTCTAATTTTTTTTTTTTTATGTT